TCATGCAAGCCAGTTCCTTGTAGTTGTCTATCTCCTACTGGTTCTGGGTCTCTGGTTGAACTTGATTCACACAGAGAACAAGTAAGGCTATCCACGCAAATCAGGACGAGATCACATGATGTCATAAAGGCCACCAACAAAATTGTTCTTGATTTTTTACCTGCTTCAGCCCCACCCTTACCTAAGGGCTGTGACACTTTTCTGTCTAAACCACAGCTCACTTGGGCCCTGATTTTCAATAAGAGGATTAGTAGGAGACTACAGCAGAAGACTCAGAGACTGTCATTCACAAAGCCTCTAGAAATTTCTGCTACCCTCCTCCCACAGCTAGGATGAGAATCTCCGCAGCCAAGAGTGTCTGCGAGGTAGGTAAGGGAACTTTGGTCTCTTTTCTTCCCTAGGTAATCTGTTCATCCGAAGGTATATCAAGTTGGAAGAATGCTAGAACCAGGCAATGATGGAGCAGTCATACCACTAGATCTAGATTCAGCACAAGCTTTTGTCTGTTCTCCCCACTTCCATTATCAGAGCAGGAATGATTAGGCCTAACCAGGGTGGTTTTTATTTTATTAGTTGGCATATTCCTCATCTACTCAGTAAAACATCAGGAAAGAACACTTTGGTGATCTGGGTCCTACCATTCCTACTGGCCTTAGGGCATGCTGAGAGAAGTGTATAGTTTTGCGTGGTGGGGCAGGGGGGTGTGTGGCCTTCAACACTGGCCCATCCTGGGATCCTCGGATTTCCTAGGAAAAGATGCAGAGCACCCCTCAGTGGCAGAAGAGAAAAAAGAAGGGGAGGGGTGAGCAGGGACTGGAAAGAGCCCGATTTCTTTCAGCTCCCCCATTCAATTTCCAGACTTGTATTCAGGGAGTCCTCAGAATCCAGGTGGAAGTCCCTGAGGCTAGAAACGCCTGTGTTTGATTTTATGTTTATATTGGGCACAGACATATCAACAGGCCCTTAGAAACACAGCTTAGGAGGTCTCTGCTTGTTGTTTACCTCCGAAATGACCAAGAAGAGCCTGACATGCAAGTAGTATGTTTTGAATGATGTGCTAATTTAAAATCTTCTCTATGAGAAGACACGGTATGCACAGTTCTTATCAGAGTTCCGATGGTTTGGTGGCAGAGACCCTCAGCTGAAGTCAGCATCACAAGCAGAGTGCCTGCTCCTCTTTCCACCCCTGCGTGTGCAGACCTCAACAGGCTGCACTTGCTGACCCGCTCAGTCACAGTGCAGAAATAGCATTTTCATGCTTTCTTTGTGAACATGCTTTCTTTTCTAAAGGAAAAGAAAATACTAGTTCTTGCTAAAGATAAAGATCTTATAAAGGTTCTTTATCTTCAGCAAGAACTATTTCTTAGTTCTTGGAATTAGACTATAGGATAATATCAATTTGGGAACAAATTTTTGGCTAAGACTCTTATTTGGCTGGATCAAGTTTCTGGAAAGTAAAAAAAAAAAATTAAAAAGAAAGAAAGAAAACATTTCAGACAAAGCATTCCCTTGTGTTTAGTTGATTCAAAATCAACTTTTTATCAAATGAGGGGAGAGTGAAACTGATCATGTGAATACTATTCCTGAAAAGAAAGGTTTAATTTTTTACCAATTAAAAATACATTGGTTAACATAGAAACACCCACACACATTCCCCTCAGGCTCATCAAAAGCCAAAGGAGTCATACACTCACACAGCAAGCCTTTTGCCTTTCTGAAAACTAAAACAATTATAATTATTACAGAAGTAATCCCAAATCCTGGTAGTTTCCATGAGGTTTATGAACTTTCCTGTAAAACAGGCTTTGTGTCTGTGATTAATATATTTCTGAACCAAAAATTGAGACACCATGTCTGACACAGAATTTGCAGGGGGAAGAGAGGATGGTTCCAGGAAATCCTGGACACGTGGTTGCCATAGTGATGCCACGTGTATTGATAGAATAGCACCAATTTTTATAGTCCAGCAGTTATAAGAATTATATTCTATATATTCCTTACATCCCTCTTCCTCCAAAGGCCTAGAAGATTACTGGTCATGCCACAGGGCTCAATATGCTTGGATTCTATTTTATGCTTTATAAGATATTTTTACCTTTTTTTTTTTCATTTAAGAATCATCAAAAGTATCAACATGAAAGCAAAGAAGCAATTATGACTGTACCTGTTTTATTGAAAGCACTATTATAAGGACCTACCTACAGGGGACTCTACTGAGTACTTGGTAATGACCTAAATGGAAAAAGAATCTAAAAAAGAGTAGATATATGTATATGCATAACTGATACACTTTGCAGTACAGCAGAAACTAACACAATATTGTAAAATCAACTATAGGCTAATAAAATTTTTTAAGTATTATTAAATTCCTCACTCTGCTTTTATAGACAAAGTGGCAGGATGCCAAAGGTCATACAAATGGGAAACGGCAGAACTGTAACTCATAAACACTCACTGATTAATGAATTGATTGATTCAAGAAACTGCTCTTTATTACCTATGTAACTGGCAAACACAAGAATCAAACTGTATGCTTAGCTGATGTAGTTAGCTGTGCGCTCCCTGGTAGCTCTGCAGTGAGCATATAAGCTGGAATCCAGCAAAATTAAAAGTTGCTGCTGCTTAAAAGACAGCTGTGAAAATTAAATGAGAATGTATACTTTGAGAAAATATGCACAAAATGCATATCTGATAATGGACTGGTACCCAGAATACAAAAAGAACTCTCAAAGCTTAATAAGAAAACAAAAAAACCTTAATTAAAAATGGGCAAAGGATTTGAAGAAACACCTCATCAAAGAGATCTGGATGGCAAACAGGAACATAAAAAACTCTCAAAACTATTAGTCATTAGAGAAATGCACATGAAAATTGCACTGAGATACCACAATAAACCTAATAGACAAACAAAAAAGGTGGCATTACCACGGGCTAGTGAGGATGCGGAGCACCGGGAACGCTCATACACTGCCAGTGGGCATAAAAAAGTCCACTTTGGGAAACTCTTCAGCAATTTCTTAGAAAGTTAAACATAAATTTCCACACAACCCAGCAACACCCATCCCTAGGTATCCTTGCAAAGGAAATTAGAATTGATATTTACATAAAAACTATAAAAAATGTTTATAGCATCTTTAATCATTTGTCAAAAACTGGAAACAATCCAACTAGGAGAGAGAAATTATGGTACATCTATAAATTGGACTACTACTCAGAAGTAAAAAGGAACAAACTACTAACACATGCAACAACATAGATGAATCTCAAAACAGTGCTTTAAGTGAAAGAAGTGAGATACAAAAGGCTAAATACTGTAGGATTCCATTTTTATGACATTGTTGAAAAGAGAAAGATCAATGGTTTCCAGGGTGTACGGTGGAGGGGCAAAATTTATTATAAAGAGGCATGATGGGACCTTCCTAAGGGCTTTGAAAATATCTGTAACTTGACTTGTGGAATTACATGACTATATATGTTTTCAAAATTTATAGAACTACATACTTAAACTGGGAGAGTTTTACTGTATGTAAATGATACCTCAATAAACCTTACTTTTTTAAAAAGTGAGAACAAGTATTTTTTTTGCACCAAAAAACACAAAGTCCTATTAAGCGACAAGTCAGTTTAACACTAATTGATGTCTGTAAGATACAAAGAAGGTAAATATCTGGCTCTTTGTATGATTTTGATCATATTTATATAAGTTTTCATATATTTGGAAGAAAACCAATTATCCTAAACTAGATTATCAACAAAAAAAATATTTATATAGATGCCAGAGAAGGTGATTTAGGATATAAACCATTCCCTATATATAGTGGGGCTTTCCTCATAGGTCAGTTGGTAAAGAACCTGCCTGCAATGCAGAGACCTGGGTTTGATTTCTGGGTCGGGAAGATCCTCTGGAGAAGGAAATGGCAACCCACTCCAGTATTCTTGCCTGGAGAATCCAATGGACAGAGGATCCTGGCAGGCTACCATCCATGGGATCGCAAGTCAGACACGACTTAGCAACTAAACCACAACCATCAGAGTGGACCGAATGGTCACCCAACAAGATACATCCACATCCTAATCCTCAAAACCTATGAATGTTACCTAATATACAAAAGGAGGAGTATTACCTAATACAGGAGAAGGTGTGATTAAGTTCATCTTGAGATGAAGATTACCTGGGTCTGCCTTAAACACAACCACATGTACCTTTCTAAGGAGGGAACTGTGTGGTGCACAGGGGAGAGGCCATGGGAAGGTGGAGGCCACGTGAAGACCGGAGTGATGTAGCCACCGGAGCTAGAAGAGGCATGAGCCACCAGAAGGGACACAGCCCTGTCATCTTGATTGCAGCTTGGTGAAACTGATCTTGGACTCTGGCCTGCCAAATTATGAGAGAATAAATTTCTGTTGCTTTAAGCCACCAAGTTTACTGGCTTCTTATTTTGTTACAGAGGCTATAGGAAACGAATATAAACATCATAATGATATGGTCATGTAAGGGCTGGACACGAATTTGAGCAAACTATGGGTGATTGTGGAGTACAGAGGAGCCTGGTGTGCTGTAGTCCATAGGGCCACAAAGAGTCAGACACAGCTTACTGACTGAATGACAATATAAGGACATGAGTACATATGCCCAACTCAGTCACAAGAAGCAGGCCCTACGTGAATTGTTCTTGGATTGTACTGACCAAGGTACCCTGTGGCTTCGATTGTTCCCTACTCTTCACCATCCATCTGGCGGTGAGCCTGCCCAGAGAAAGAGTAAAACCACAGGGACTACAGTAGAAGCTGCCGCTTGCACACCCAACATCCATCCTTCCTTTGTCCTTAGTAAGAGACACCTACACAGTTAGACTCTGCAATAGACAAACCACATTTCCAAACATCCCTTTTAGATACAGGTGGCCAATGAGATTTAAGTAGATGTTATTGGCAAAAGCTGCAGAGAAAGGTCTTCAAAAGAAAATTGATTCAATTGAAATTCAAGTGGCTTTACTCACCCTGCTTTCCTTCTTCCTGATGTCTATAAGGCAGAAGTGATGGATAGAGCTCCGACAGCCATCTCTTGATGGTGAGGTGACCTTGAACATAGAAGCCATGCTCTAAGGACAGAAAAGCAAAAAAGATAAAAGGAGCCTGAGCTCCTAAGGACCATAGAGCTGCTGTACTAGTTCTAGGCTGCTTGTTTCTATTTCACATGAAATAAAATGGAAAAGGGCCTCATTTTGTAAGGCCATTGTTATTTTGAGCCTTTATTAGTAGAAGCCAGAAGCAATTCCTAACTGATTGGAATTAAATAAGGATCTAATTAGCTTTATTAAATAATACCAAAAACTACAAAGTTAAAAATGAAAAGTTGTGGATAGCCTGATTTCTCTCCCCTGATTTAGTTCTCTTGAGAACAAATGTGTTGATATCATAAAAAAATCCCTATTATTTTAATCTACTAATCTTTGCTTTTTTTCTTTTTCAGTTAATCTGTAAATAAATGGAAATGTACAAGTTACTTATAAGTCACATCACTCTATGTCCCCAAAACTTCATGAAGAAAGTACCCAGCCCTGTTACTTGTTACAAATCAGGAAAAAAATTACATTAGGATCCAAATTACTATTACTAATTCCCATCTTCTTATATTAGTACCCAGTGTATGCAAAGAGGCTTCCCAGGTGGCACTAGTGGTAAAGAACCCACCTGCTAATGCACAAGGCATAAGTGATGCAAGTTTGATCCCTGGATGGAGAAGATCCCCTGGAGAAGGGCATAGCAACTACTCCAGTACTCTTGAGCCTGGAGAAGCCCATGGACAGAGGAGCCTTGCGGGCTAGAGTCCATAGGGTCACAAAGACTTGGACACGACAAAAGTGACTTAACACACACATAGTGTACTCAAAGGGCACCGAAACACTTTCTTACTAAACTATGTAATTTTGCATTTTGTAGAGGCTGGCTGACTTATATGCATTCTAAAAAATTCAGACAACTTTCTTCTGATCATTAAAAACAAATCTGCAAAACAGGTAGAGAGATGCAAATTCTAAAATCTTTAAAAAAAAAAGTAAACTCCCAAATAAGGAGAAGAGGGAAAATTACTGAGTGAAGTGATTAAAAGCAAATTTATGAAAAAGATACCTAGAATAAAAAATGATTTAAATAAGAATAAGGATAAAAGAACCTCCTGAGGTTACAAAACATAAGAGGACCAGCAGCCCATAGGACTGATCACCTGTGGGCCTGAATCTCCATGGCCTTACTTGTGTTTACAAGAGCCCCATTCTCAGCACCTTACAACCCTCCATTTGCACCACCTCCCAGGCTGTCCTGGGGGAGCAGTATAAACAAGATCACAAGCCCTGCCAGGTACAGGACAGAAGGCAGAACTGTTCGTCTACACTGGGCTCCTAATCTAATTTTGTGTTTCCTTCACCCCCATGTTTCTTAAAAGGGAGGCTTAAACCAGTTCAGGGGAAATCAAGACTGTGAAGTTCTTTCTGGGTGCACTTCCCATTGAAAGGAAGCCACTGTACACACACAGGGTGAAGCTCCATTGTGCAGCGTCACTTCTGAAACACTTGTAACCATAAGTGCATCTGTTCTGGGTAACAAAATTGAGAGGAACAAGAAGTGCTTCAATTGCACTCTAATCTCAGCTTCCTTATCTGAGGAAAACTGAAAGGTCATTCACACCACAGAGCGCACTGACTTGAGTTTGACAGTGTGGAAACAATGGAGATTTAGGCATCTAAAGCCTTGCACATGCGCCTGATACAATTTTGTTAAATGATCTTAGCTTTATGGTTAAATGAACTTAACCTCCCTGAGCTTCTGTTTCCTCATCAGGAAAATGAGGTTGATACTACATTTATTCCAGGATCAGGTGGAAAACAACAGCCAGAGATGTTCAGTAAATGTTGATTCATTTCCCCCTTCTTCTACACAGTATCATAGCCCCAGATTGGCAGCCTACAAGCCAAAGCTGGCCTATAGACATGATTTTGCTGCAAATTGTGGGTTGTTTTCATTTTGATTCTTTTTTTAATTCTTTAATTTTAAGAAGACATTACAATTAAATATTTTTCTAAAACTGCAATTTCAGTTTATCTTGAAAAACTGGGATGGCAACAGTGGGCCTGCATTTCTGCATGGCCACATGATTGTTAGAGTTGATTGTTTAGACACGGCATGTGCTATCTAGCTCATCAACTTCCTAACCCAGCCGTATTCATTCCCTTGAGTTAAATGCCTGACATTATAGGCATCTGAATTTGCCAAATCTGCTAACAATCACATGGGGGTCCACTCAAATCACCATCTTTTCTTCCCTCCACCACATCACATCTTCCAATACTGAAGTTAAACATGCCATTTGGGATAATTCTAATGTTGGAGCAAGAGACTGAAAGCAAAATTGAAAGGTTAATCAACAAGTTACAGGAAATCAAGTCATGGGGGAGGGAGGTTGAAAAGACACACATAGACACATACAAACGAACAAACAGATACACACATACATTGTGTAAGCCCATGATTGACTAACTATATTCAGTTAGGTTCATTTCTTTCCCTTTGAGAATTCAGTGAAATTAGTTTATGGGAATAAACAAAGTATAAATCATACACTTTAATTCTACAAGTGTTAATGTTTAAATGTACTTTTTAATTCTAATTTGAGTCAGCTTACAGTTACACATATAATCAAACATTATCAAAAAAGATAATTAGAACAAACTGTTAGGACAACATGGAGGAATAAGCACTCTTATATTACAGATGGGAGTATGAAATGTTACAATCCCTACAAAGGAGAATTTGCAAATATCTAACACAAGTCTAGATGAATTTACCATTTAGACCTCAAAACATCCACTTCCAGGAATATATGAAGATGCAAAAGTGTATTAATTATCTATTGCTGCATCACAAATACAGCTACTAATCATCTTGGTTTGTCCAGGACTATGGATTTTACTGAAACTCATAATTTTCAGTACTCAAACTAGAACAATCCCAGGCAAACTCAGATTATTGGCCATCCTAGCAACAAATTGCCCTAAAATTTAAAGAACACATTCAGTAAGTTTGTCAGTGGTCTTGGCAATGATTTATCTGACACCAAAAGCGAAAATAAACAAGCGGTAATACATCAAACCAAAAAGTTTCTGCACAGCAAAGGAAATCACTGACCAAATGAAAAGACAACCTACTGAATAGGAGAAAACATCTGCAAATTATATGTCTGATAAGAGGTTAATATTCAAGATATTGTATATTCAAAATATCCTCATACAATATGCAAAATATTGTATGAGAAATTCATATAATTCAACAGCAAAAAAACATACAATCCAATTTTAAAATAAGCAGAAGATCCAAATATTAATAGATATTTTTCCAAAGAACACATACAGATGGCCAACATGTACATAAAAAGCCACTCAACATCACTAACTATATCAGGGAAATGCACATCAAAACCACAGTAAAATATCTATCACCTTGTATCTGTTAGAATGGTTATTATCAAAAAGACAAAAATAATAAGTGCTGGTGAGAACACAGGAAAAAGGGAACCCTTGTGTACTGTTGGTGGGAATATAAATTGGTACAGCCATTTTGGGAAACAGTATGGAAATCATCAAAAATTTAAAAATAGAAGGAGCATATGACCCAGCAATTCCACTTCTGGGTATTTATCTGAACAAAACAAAAACACTAACTTGAAAAGATATATGCATCTTTATGTTCATTGCAACATTATTTAAAATAGGAAATGACCTAAGTGTCCACCAGTGAATGAAGGGATAAAGAAAATGTCACACACACAAGCACACACAGAAATATTATTCAACCACAAAGAAAGAATGAAGTTTTTCTATTTGCAACAAATTGGATGGCCTCAGGGTATTATGCTATTTCTACATGAAATAAGTCAGATAAGGAAAGACAGATATTGTAAGCGCTCACTAACACATAGAATCTAGAAAACAAACATAAACCAAGTTCATAGATAGAGAAAACAAATTGGTGGTTGCCAGAGGTGGGAGACTGGGAAGAGGGGAGAAATGGGCAAAGGGAGCTAAAATCTGCAAATTCTCAGCTACAGAAATAGAAGTGAGGGGATGTAAAGTCCAGCACAGTGACTATAGTTAATAATACTGTATTGCATATTTGAAAGTTTCTAAGAGAAAAGATCTTAAAAGTTCTCATTATGAGAATAAAACCACTATGTGTGATAATGGATATTAACTAGACTTATGTGGTTATTATTTGGCAATGTATACAGATAACAAATCATGTTGTACACCTGAAACTAATATAAATGTTATATACCAATTATTTATCAATTCTAAAAAAAAATTTAAAACCTTAAAACGCAAAACTAGAACAGGCAAACAGAGATTGTCATCCCAGTAACACACTCCTGTATTAAAATGGGTAACCAACAAGGACCTGCTCAATAGCACAGGGAACGCTGGTCAATATTATGTAACCAGCTAAATGGGAAAGGAATTTGAAAAAGAAGAGACATGTGTATAAGTGAATCACTCTGTGTAAATCTGGAACTAATACAACATGGTTAGTCAACTACAGTCCCGTATAAAATAAAAGAGTCAAAAAATACTGTAAAACTTGGCAGCTTAAAATAATACACATTTATTTAGCTCAAAACTTCTGCGAGTCAGGAGTGCAGGCAAGGCTCAGCTGAACTTGTGCTTCACAGCCTCTCACGAGGCTGAGTTCAAGTGTCAAAGAGGGCTAGGGCTTCACGTGAAAGCTCAACCAGGGGAGAAGCTGCAACCAAGCTTACTTACAAGGTTGTTGCCGGAGTCAGTTCCATGGGGCTGTTGGAACACAACCTTCAGTTATTCTCTGTCTGTAGGTTAGAGGTCACCCTCAGTTCCTTGCCATGTGGGTCTCCCCAACATAGCAACCTGCTTCATCAAAGCCAAAAGAGAGAATTTTCCAGCAAGGCAGAAGTAACACTTTCGGTAACCTAGTCATAGGAGTGATAGCCCTTTCATATTGCCATCTTCTTTGGTTAGAAGCAACTTACACAAACTACTGCACAATTGCACTCATCTCACATGCTAGCAAAGTAATGCTCAGAATTCTCCAAGCCAGGCTTCAACAGTACGTGAACTGTGAACTTCCAGATGTTCATGCTGGATTTAGAAAAGGCAGAGGAACCAGAGATCAAATTGCCAACATCCGATGGAGCACTGAAAAAGCAAGAGAGTTCCACAAAATCATCTACTTCTCTTTTATTGACTATGCCAAAGCCTTTGACCATGTGGATCACAACAAACTGTGGAAAATTCTTCAAGATATTTGAATACCAGGGCACCTGACCTGACCCTGAGAAATCTGTATGCAGGTCAAGAAGCAACAGTTAGAACTGGACATAGAACAACAGACTGGTTTCAAATCAGGGAACGAATACGTCAAGGGTGTATATTGTCACCCGGCTTACTTAACTGATATGCAAAGTACATCATGCAAAATGCCAGGCTGGATGAAGAACAAGCTGTAATCACAATTGCCGGGAGAAATATCAATAACCTCAGATATGCAGGTGTGAGAGTTAGACTGTAAAGGAAGCTGAGAGCCGAAAAAATTGATACTTTTGAACTGTGGTGTTGGAGAAGACTCTTAAGAGTCCCTTGGACTGCAAGGAGATCCAACCAGTCCATCCTAAAGGAAATTAGTCCTGAATATTCATTGGAAGGACTGATGCTGAAGCTGAAACTCCAATACTTTGGCCACCTGATTGGAAGAACTGACTCATTGGAAAAGACCTTGACACTGGGAAAGATTGAGGGCATGAGGAGAAGAGGACAACAGAGGATGAGATGGTTGGATGGTATCACTGACCTGATGGACATGAGTTTGAGTAAGCTCCAGGAGTTGGTGGTGGACAGGGAGGCCTGGCGTGCTGCAGTCCATGGGGTCGCAAAGAGTCGGACACGACTGAGCTCCTGAACTGAACTTGCGTAAGGGGAGTGGCTTACACAACGCCAGAAGGTAGAAATCACCTGGGGCCAGAAAAGACTCTGTCTTGAACCCAGGCCTGGGCGCATCAGACACACGTGTGTTCTATTTCAAATCCTCTCCACCCCCACCTCTTACTCAACCCACTGCTGCAGCAAAGCCCCAGGTCTTGATTAGCCTTACACAGGCTGATGTCTGATACAGACCACGGTATTCCAAGGGGTAGCATGGATGGACAGAGAAGGCAATGGCACCCCACTCCAGTACCCTTGCCTGGTAGGCTAGCCTAGTAGGCTGCAATCCATGGGGTCACTAGGAGTCCGACACGACTGAGCAACTTCACTTTCACTTTCCACTTTCACACATTGGAGAAGGAAATGGCAACCCACTCCAGTGTTCTTGCCTGGAGAATCCCAGGGACGGGGGAGCCTGGTGGGCTGCCGTCTATGGGGTCGCACAGAGTCAGACACGACTGCAGTGACTTAGCAGCAGCAGCAGCATGGATGGACAGCAGTGGAGTGTTTCCTGAGCTCTATTTATAAAGGGGGAAAAAACTTAAGAGCTAGAAGAAAGCAAGCTGAAATTAGATACTACAATGAAAAAAATAAGGCCCTCTGCCTGGCTCCCAGGTAAGTTCATCCATAGACCCAGAGCCCACTCACTGAAGGGGAGGTTTCGCCTCCTTGAAGAGGAGCCCAGACAGTCCATCACAAGTATAAACAATGAGCACTCCCTCAATCTTTCTCCAAAGTGACCTACGGACCCTTACCAGAGTACTGTGTACTGGGGAAAGGGGAATACAGAGTTGCTTCGACCTTAGGCTGCTATGAGAAATCATAAATGCCAGTTACTACTGTTTGTCTGATTAGAGAAGAAAGTAGAGGACAGGTGATAAATGAAATCCCCACCCTGGTACAAGTCACAGTGAAACCCATAGTTATTTCTCCAGTAACTGAGTCTATAATTGGGACAGGTAAACTTAGAAAATGGAAACCCCTCATATCAGCTCCCTGAATTTTGACGTTAGAGCCTTTAGGGTCATATAGAAGGCCCGTGTGATTTTTACAGTTCTAACAGCTCTAGGTGATAGGCACATGCAAAGCAAAATTAGACACCACCCATTTTCTTCCTAGGAGAAGGCAATGGCACCCCACTCAAGTACTCTTGCCTGGAAAATCCCATGGATGGAGGAGCCTGGCAGACTGCAGTCCATGGGGTCACAAGAGTCGGACACGACTGAGCAACTTCACTTTCACTTTTCCCTTTCATGCACTGGAGAAGGAAATGGCAACCCACTCCAGTGTTCTTGCCTGGAGAATCCCAGGGACGGGAGAACCTGGTGGGCTGCTGTATATGGGGTCACACAGAGTCAGACATGACTGAAGCGACTTAGCAGCAGCAGCAGCATTTTCTTCCCAGCCATCATTTGAGGGGGGATGAAAAGTGCTGAAGCCAGAATGAGCCCCGGGGGCGGGGGTGATGCGAGGCACACTGGGCACCCCAGGTATGCTCTCCACCCACTAGTCTAATTTTGTAAAAGGTAATTACCCCTGAGGAGAGTCACACGTTAACAGGAAGTCAGTTACACCCTCTCTATCATCCATCAGAGGATCTTCTTGGCCTTACCTAGACACTCACATGATAATCACAGGCCGCCACTGGTCTGCTCAGAGCAGTGTAGGGCAGGCCCACAGGTCGCCAGCAGGGTGGCACCAGGGTCTCCCTCGGTGGAAGTCTATATCAGCCTGCACAGCTCTTCCGCACTAGCTTTGGCTCAGCAGCTAGGGGCGAGAGCCACACTGGCAGGTGTGGGAGCTAACCTGGCTGAATATCCTCACTCCTCAAAGTAGCCTCTCCTATAACAACTCCCTGGATGTAGCTTTCATTCCCTCCAGGGATACCTCGTTATAAAAGTCACCACACCCAGGGAGGCCTCAAGAATCGTGTCCTTAGCAGGGATGCGCGGTCTTTCATAGCTCCTCCCAGCCCAGATAAAACTGAACAGTCAGGGTCATTTTTATCATCAGCCATGTTACTTGGAAATACAGTTTGCATTTTACCCTTAAGAGGTTGCCAGAGTAATGGCTGTGTGTGTGTGTGTGTGTGTGCACAAGCGCATGTGCGCACACACATGCACTCAGTCATGTCCAACTCTTTGTGACCCTATGACTGTGGCCCGCCAGGCTCCTCTGTAACTGGGATTTCCCAGGCAAGAATACAGGAGTGGGTTGCCATTTCCTTCTCCAGGGGATCTTCCCGACCCAGGGATCGAACCAGAGTTTCCCGCATCGGCAGGTGGATTCTTTACCACTGAGCCCCCTGGGAATTTCCGCCCAACATAGGTGTCCAGCTACCCAAAGGGCAAGTGCTCATGAAGAAGGGAAAGCTTGGTTTACCCCTTACTTTAGCCACCCTGGCTAAAGAGCAGCCTCTACAGATTCTGTCCTTTCTTCAGGATGGAGCTTCTGTAGTTGCAGCAGTGTTGCGACATCTTTGGGGAGCTGCACAGAAAGACACGGGTGGATGGAGAGGAAATCCAGAACCAGCTTTATCTCCTCCTCTGGTTTTTGTTTTTTTTTTTTTAAACAAACCCTCTTTGAAATTGAGGCTGATGTTCTTGTTTGTTTCAAATAGGGAGGCCATGGTGGCCACAATGCAGACAAATCCCTTAGGGCTTCATCTGACACCAGAGATTGAGGTTCTGGGACCTACTAAAGCAGAGTGCAAACACCGCCCCCTCTCTGCTGTATCCTTCAAATCAGGCTGGACAGTCTTACCCAGGTGGATCAGATTGTCTTCCTAGTGAGAATGCAGGTCTCAGGAACAAGATTCTGTTCAACTTTGCTAAAAGGATTGCTGACTCTTTTCTCCCGCTTTGAGTTACATTAAGAATAGGTCTTCTTCTCTCCTCTTGTTTGATGGGTGCCATCCCCCAGGAGACGAGAGGAGGCCAGGAACTCACTCTGCACATACATACTTCCAACTTTACAGGAGCCTGCCTTGTTGATTCCAAGAAACTGAATGTCCATGAGAAAAGTTTTGTCCTGAAAGAAGACCTCACCTCTTCCCCAGGCTGTGCAGCAAGCGAAGCCTCTAGGGAGACGCGCATGTTCATCTCCAGGGCCTGCTCTGTCCTCCTTATGGCCAAGCTCACCCTTACAGCTTGTGGACTGGCACCAGCCCCATGGAGAAAACTCAGTTCTCTTCTTCCTCCGCAAGTCTGATATGCTTCTTTAATGAGTCTGGTGGTGCTGTGGTCAAGTGTCCAGAGAGAGAACAGACTTGGAGGGGGCTGGAGGGATGGGGAGATGAGGACAGATGAGCTGGCATCTGTGGGAGAAGGAGAGCTGTGCGGTGATTCCTCAATGAATTTATTTAAGGGCAGAGGTGGGGGAGATGAAATATGGGGCAGCCTGAGAGGACAAAGGGAGAGAACGAGAGAAAGAGAGCAGATGTTGTGAAAGATACTCTTTCGTGTTTCCTGCGCACTGGCAATCTGCAGATGTATGTTGGCAGGGCTACAGTCAGAGAACAGAGGGAGGCTGCAGTTTACACATCTGGAAATCATTTGGCAGGGGGCAGAGTTCAAACGCTTTCTGCCTCAGCCGCTTGCAGACCTTCCTTGCCGCGTGGGCTGTGGCTGGGTGAGGGGCCGCCAGGCACAGAGTCCCTCCAGCCTCACTCTGGGCGGAAGCCCCACCTAAGCCGGTGGGGTTTGCCTCTGTATGGGTTCAGTCACGCGGAAAAGTTGAAATGCTGATAAAAAGAGAGAACGGGACCAGGGAAGGACAGGAGCAAAGTGGAGAATGCACCAGAACGGAGAGAAGCCTGGCTGGAAATCAAGAAACAAAATGTACTTGGACTGAGTCCAGAGCATGAGTTAACTGGAGAGCAAAGAACTCCATTCAGTGGAGGGGAAGGAAAAAAAAAAAAAAAAGACTCCTCTGCTGCATAGTAACACCCAGGGATCATGCTCACGCCACATTTATTTTTCTCAGAAATCCCTGTCCATGTTGCCTTCATTGGTTGCAGGAATGCGGAGGGCCCTCTTGATACTGAGGGAGGATCGCTTGGGAAGGATTTATGGGGTTCTGCAAGGAGACAGCAGGGTCTCCCAGGACCGGGTTATCACCCCACTGACCCAAAGCCTCTGCGGCCACTGGGAGACAGAGTCCTCCCTCCCAAAAGGGGCAAGGTCAGCTCGGGTGTTTAGCTTCCCTCTGAGGAGAAACACATCCCTGGTGAACTTGTGTCCCAGCGCAAAGACCCTGCCACGCTCAGTGGAGCAGACACGCTGGCTGCAGCTGCTGGGGGGCATGGAGTGGGGCGCCACGTGGCCTGTGTGGGAGGTGAACGCACCGCGAGTGGTCCTGAGTTAAAGGCACATGGGCTCACCCAGGTGGGGTAATAAGGTCCAGGACCTCAGAAAGATCAGAGTCCACCTGGGGAGAGAACAGAGCACATGAAAAGACAAGTTACAAAATACAACCAAATGGAATAAAAGGCCAAACGTGAGATCAAACACACTCTGATGGATCACTTCATAACCCCCACCCCCACCCCAAACCTGCTTAACTTCCTGTCCCCTCTACCTAACTGGAAGTCTCTGCCTTCCCTAGGCTGCCCGTGCCAGAAATGGTCGTTACTCCCCCTCAGCTCATGTCAGATGTGGCCACAGGTCCTGCTGATTTATGCCTTCACCTCTTTTGCACGTGTCCATCACCCGCTGCATCTCTAGCCTGAATCACTGCCGCCGCTTCTGAATCAGCCTCGCTGCTGCCGATCTGATCCCCCGAGTCTGCGCTCCGAGTTCTCGGTCTGAAGGGAAATCTGAATGTGTCACTCCTGTAAGTAGTTCAGCAGTCTTCCACAGCTTTCAGGATAAAGCTCAGCCTGCGAAGCATGACACAGAAAATCGTCATGACCTGGCTTTTGTCCATGATCGGAACCTCATCTTCAGCGGTGCGCTCAGAAATGTTTACCAACCAAGGCCTCCAGACACAGCATGTGTCATTTCACACGACACACTCCCCCTGAGCAATGAAGTTCTTCCAACTCCCTGGCCATAACCACGTCTCTCCCTCACCTGGGCCTCTGCACATCTTTCTCTTTCTGCCCAGAAAGACCTTCCTCCTGCCTCTCCCCCATGCTCACACCCCCCAACCCACCCCTGCCAATCATCATCCTTCCAGACCTGGCTTCCACAAGGAAGTCAGCCCTTAGCAGTCCTGTCCGACTCTTTGCCACCCCATGGACTATAGAGTCCATGGGCTTCTCCAGGCCAGAATACTGGAGTGGGTAGCCTTTCCCTTCTCCAGGGGATCCTCCTGACCCAGGGCTTGAACCCAGGTCTCCCGCATTGTAGACAGATTTTTTACCAGCTGAGCCACAAGGGAAGGTTGCCATTTCCTTCCCCAGGGTTAGCAAGCACAGGGGTCACCAAATGCTGCCTTGTACATGTGCGGGCGGGACTGTTGCTCTATCAGGCACCTTTGAGGACAGCACTGTTTTTATCTTTGCATCCACATTGCCTCCCACACTTTCTGGCACATAGTAGGTTTTCAGTTGTCACTGAAATGCAGAATATAAACACTGCTAGTTTTTAACTTACTACTTATGCTCTGCCTCTGGTAAAAAGATTCAAGATTGTGAATGAATGCTATAAGCCTTTTCCACAAACACAGAGCTCTGGGAAGTACAGAAGTCAGAGTGGCCAGAGAAGACTTCTTGGAGTAGAGTTGCCATAATCAGCAAATTAAAATACAGGATGCCCAGTGAAATTTTACTTTTAGGTAAGCAATGATTGTTTTTTTTGTAAGTTCCTATGCAACATAAGCAAAATACTTATAGTAAACAAATATTCATTCAAATGAAATGCATATTGAACTGGGCATCCTGTATTTTATCTGGTAACCCTATCTTTGAAGAGGCTGCATTTGAGCAAGAGTTTGATGGATGAGTCAGATTTAGAAAGGGCAAGAGAAGGGGGACTGGTTTTTCTCACTGGAGGCTGGTGGGAGGGGAGATGAGCCAAGTGCATGGAGACCAGGACCTGTAAGGAATTTTCAGATCGGTCTTATTAGAGCATGAAGTTGGTGCTCACAAAGAGAGGCTGAAAAGGAGAGAGTTGAAATGGAAATGGAAGTGATCAGAGAGAGAGGACCACTGCCATTATTTAGACATTTGTTCAGTTTAAAAGTCCTGAACTGGCCCAGAGGCGATTGGAAAAAAGGACAGGAAGAAAGGGCAGATTTCTAAGTATGCTGGGGGATGGGAAGGAGATCTAAGGAATCCACAAAGACTTAAGGCTCAAGAGGAGAAGCCAGCTTAGAAGGGGCAGTCAAAGGTGGATGAACTTCATTCAGACCAAATGACACTGATGTGAAGGTAGGACCCACAAGGAGAACTGAATACCAAGTAGGAGAAGAGATGCTGGGGCCTCGGCGTGACAGTGGTCATGGAGTGTCCCTACATAACTGACAGGGATGGTCTGCGAGGGTTCTCAGTCACTTACATGCTCCCCATACATGACAGAGGAGGACTGGCGGGACGATCACCACAAATAGCCAAGGCAGTGTGACAGACCACTAATACACTCCCCCGAGGACTCGCCTCATTCCAGGCCTTCTCAAGAGTCCGCCAGGCCACTCGAGAGACGTCTCACTCTTCTGTTTCATGAAGGAATGATAGATGTAGTTCACTGCAAGACATTCAAAAGATGGAAAAGGGCATTTCCCCACTAAGTTACCTAAATGTATTGTAAAGTTCAAATTTAATACACTTCAAATCTGTGCCTGATCAGAGCAAATTGTTTATCTATGTGAAATTGGCAAAGGGTCAGTCTGTGGATATGAAAATATTTTGAAAATTATACTGTACTATACAAACCTAAGGATATTATTCATATAAATGGAGTCTCTAAAAGGTAACAGACAATAATCACCCAGATATCCAAAATTATGTTTGCTTTTTGCTAGATGTCTGGATATTTCAAGGCATCAAATTCAGTACTTTCCCTAATATTACCCATGTCCTTCTTGTCTTATTTTTACATAGCACTTATCACCATCTATCATACCTTATATCCAGTTCAGTTCAGTTGCTCAGTCATGCCTGCCTCTTTGCAACCCCATGGACTGTAGCAAGCCAGGCTTCCCTGTCCATCACCAACTCCTGGAGCTTGCTCAAATTCATGTCTGTTGAGCCGGTGATGCCATCCAACCATCTCATCCTCTGTTGTCCCCATCTCCTCATGCCTTCAATCTTTCCCAGCATCAGGGTCTTTTCTAATGAGTCAGTTCTTCGCATCAGGTGGCCAAAGTATTGGAGTTTCAGCTTCAGCATCAGTCCTTCCAATGAACACCCAGGACTGATCTCCTTTAGGATGGACTGCTTGGATCTCCTTGCAGTCCAAGGGACTCTCAAGAGTCTTCTCCAACACCACAGTTCAAAAGCATCAATTCTTCAGCACTCAGCTTTCTTCACAGTCCAACTCTCACATACATGACTACTGGAAAAACCATAGCTTTGACTATACCCATTCCCCATATGGAATACCTTATTTTGTGTTTTCCCTGATTACTCCACAAGACTGCGTGAGCATTGAGGGCAAGAATTTATATCTCTTTTGTTGATGGCTATACTTCTCCATGCCCAAAGCAAAGCTTATTTCTGACTAAGTGAATTCACTTTAGTTTTCTAAGGGATGATTAAGCTTATGTAAATATATTTTGATTGCTAGGAAGTATCCTAAGGACAAACATGAAAGAAATATCCAAATTACAATATCCACTGTTCTACAATTAGGTATCAGTCATGCGAAGTCATGAGGACACACTGTCCATGTAAACTTGATTGTCCTAAAAATAAGATACATGTAGACCAATGCTAAGTTCTTCCTGGTAGCATACACTATAGGCATCTCAGGTGACCCACAAGAGTTCGTTTCCCTCCCTTAGTATGGATCTTGCTAAGCTCAGCTGTTTGATAGCTCTTCTCATGTCCCTAGAGGCCTCAGGTCCTCACCACACCTCTGCTGAGGGTTGATTCAACAAAGACCCCATGTGGACCGTGCCTTTCCCCCTCTTCCTAGGACAGTGTGTTTGTCTCAATCTGGAGAAGAGAGCCACATTTTAATTCCAGTTTCAGAGCTCTGGTGTCTATTTGAGCCTATGGTTCTTCTTGCACAGTTCATTCCCCTGTTGTTGGTAGCAATCCTAACTGTCTTAGAGTGATGATTGGACACCACCTTGCACATGGTGTTCTGCAGAGTAAATTCAAGAAAAAGGATCCCTGCTCAGCTTCCCAGCATGAACTGGCATCCCTAATGTAGACAAACACACACAAAAAATACACCGCAGCTGAGGCTCAGATGAGCCTTGAAAGGCATCCAGCTGCACTCTTAAACCCAGCTGGTATGTGTCCTGGTTAAATAACGCAACAGACTGGCAAGTCCCGGAGAACTCAGTGCTGAAGTCCAGAAGGCTGTCATGTCTGTGTGTGTTTGGCATCCCTGGGAGGCAGGAGGATGGTGGGGAGAAAGATTTAGTAGCAAGATGTTAAGGAAGC